GACTAAGTTTAGTACGTGAATTAGACAAAATTTTGTGAACGCCGCATTGGATTAACTGATAGATCTAGAATCTCATTCTCTTGGACCCATAATCAACATGCAGATTTTGTGATGCATTATATTTCAACGCTGAAAAACACAAGGGGAGTGTATACTGCGTGTTTTCTCAGCGTAAAATTGAACCAGGTTAATGTAATGTACCTACGTGTAAATGATTATCTGAAACAACTTTCTAACTTACAAACAATGACACCAAGTTGATGCATTTTAAAACCCATGGCAGAAACTTAAATAGTGCATTACCTATGGTAACTTCGTGCACTAAAATAAAAAATGACGTAGGCGGGCCATACATTTTCACTGTGAGTGAACGGTCAAGTTCAGCATCGTTTAGGGATTAGAAATCTAAACCAGCATGACACAAGCTGCTACGTCCAAATTTATTTCTACGACACAGAGCAGGCAAAAGACCAATCGTCGAATAATGTAGCATCAGTGTTCCTGCCAAAACGAGAGTTTTCACATTCACGGATTACCTTGATGTTGCTCCCGATCTGATCTAAGTCTTGTCTTTCAACGAAGTCAAGATCTTCATTACTAACAATAAGGTGAGGAACAAGGTACTGCCCAATAGATATTTCGTCACGATGATGACCACCTGTATCAATTTTGTAATAATATTACCGTTGAAATGGAAAAAGAATAAAATAAAATATTGCCATTCTCAAGCTATTTAGGAAATATTTCTGCGACTGTTTCTTTCAGTAAATAATGTACACGTATGTCCGTATAATTTTGTTTAACTCCTATAGTTAATTCCTATAAATCTTGTTTATCAGTCAAATATAACACCTCGAATAGACTTTTTTGCACCTTTAGCCATTTTATGAAATAGAGGATACAATATCCTTCCCTGCTTTCGCATCTGCTCACAGCTACATTAACTTAACTAAACGCAGGAAACTGTTAAAACCAGGAAAACAACAGTGCGTACAGTAGTCACAGTTAGTCTGGGCGTTTAGTCTGGGACCCTTGTGTACTAATCGTCCCTCACACCAAAGCCATGAAGACAGCGCTGAGGCGCTGAACAACCCCAGAGAGCCGTGTGGGCCAGATGTTTTTGGAAATGAGCAATACTCCCCTCTACACCCCCCGCCATAGCGCGGCCGCGCACCCAGACTACTAGCTACGACTACTGTACAAGTACATTGACATGTCTCGAAATGGTCTGAACATAGCGTGGTGAAGGGGCCGGAGCCCCCCCCTGCCTGACACTGAAAACGACAACTATTGTCAATAAAATTGCTGTTGTATTTTGGTACATACATATTAACTATTGTTAGTATTGTTCAATGTCTATGTTCATGTTTGGTCCAAGCCGAGCATAAAAAAAACACGAATTAAAAACTTATAATACCCCCGGCGCAGCAAACCTCCCGACTAAGCGAATTTCCACATGCCTGAATTGATGTTCAATTGAATGTATTTAATTAACATTAGGTTTTATGAGTAGGCTTGCTGCTACAGGGTGGGTAAAAACGAGTTTTTTTTAATATTAATAACTTAGTATGAAATAAATAAATTTACCAAGTTTGATCAAAATATATCCATAAACATGCAAACTACAACATTTTACAATATTCTCCATAAGAATAACATGGGAATTAAAAAATAGATTTTTTTTATTTTCTCCGTAACCAATAATTGTACAAAAACACCTTGGTATACTGTTTTTTAAGCTCTTTAAAAAGGTCTGGAGAGAAATTGGGAAATTTTCTGTTTAGAGGGTCAAAAATTAGAAAAAACAATTTTTACCCCATAAGACCCCGTTCCCATGGTCCGATCATGCTATTTCGCGAACTCATTTAAGTGTATGCCGCCTTACACTTTCAAACAAAATGTTATCAAAATCGGACAAAAAATATTCAAGTTATCGTGTTTACGGACACACACACACATTTACACACATATATATATATATATATATATATATATATAAATTTATATATATATATAAATTTGAACGGATGGTGTTTTTGGCCTCTGGGGACATTAAAAGGAAAAAGTAAATCGGTCCCGGACCTAGGTACCTACCATGCCACCTACGGTAATACATACTTCCCTATAGGGAAATTCGCTAAAACCAAAACGAAATAAAATACGAAACGAAAACAACAAATCCGGCCTAAGACGGCCCTGAAGGAGCATTTAGATTATTTTTGTTTTTAATTTACTTTGACTTTTATCTCGAAGTAGTTCGACTTTATTCTCGAAGTAGTTCGACTTTATTCTTGAAGTACTTCGACTTTATTCTCGAAGTACTTCGACCTTATTCTCGAAGTACTTCGACTTTATTATTCTCGAAGTAGTTTGACATTTCTATTTCTAGTATAATTTCAACACACACAACACTTATCTCTGTTTCTGTCGTTGTCTTTTAAGCGTCCACTCACTTATGCAAATGTCATGCTTCGATAAAGAATTGAAAGTATTTCAGGCTGTTGAAGGCATAAATTAAAATATTGTTCGATCAGTTCATTAATGTCATATTCCATGATGTGTGCTAAAAAAACACTATCTCTATCTGCCAATTCTGATCAAAAATATGTCAACAAAAGCACCCCTACATCAACAGTAAATGCTCATAAGTAAAAGTTTATATAAGTCCTGTGGAGGAACTGTCCAGCAATCTGAACTTGTCACCTCTTGCCCTGCGACGTGACGTGGCTGATGTTGTTCTTCTCTGGAAGATTGTGAATGGTCACATGAACTGTCCAGATCTCCTAGCTGAAATCGACCTCAGAGTTCCTACAAACACAAGATCTCGAGATCTGCTGGGTCGAAGATACCACTCAACCAACTTCGACTTCAACAGCCTTTTCGCAAGGTTTATTCGCCTGGGAAATCGAGTTGCGTCTGGGTGTGACCTGTTCTTCGATGGACTTCACCAAGTTCGTCGGCAGGCCTCCTCTCTCTTCTTTCTGGGAAAGACTAGTAATTAATTATTGTTGTTTGTTTATCGTTATTTTCTGTTGTTGTTATGTTTGAGTAATTATTGTTGTTTAATTGTTAATCTTATTTTTTGTTGTTGTTATGCTTTGGATATTTATAACCTGTTATATTTTTGAAAACTTATATTTATTATCAAACTTTGTATAACTATTTTGTTGTACTCTACCATCATGATTGTCTTTGTAAATTGGCTGCTGCCGTTGGAAATAAATAAATAAAACATAAATAAACAGTTTAAGGCACGTTTTGCTTGGAGCGACAGGTGCGACGGTCGCGCAGCGACTGTCGCCCAGCGGCAGTCGCGGGGTGGTAGACTGTTTTGCTTGGAGCGACTTCTTCTTCCTGGCGTCATGAGACGTGGTAACGCCAGTGCACCTAACCTCAAAAGGGCGCACTATAAAGTCACTAAATAAATTCGATTAATTCACTTAGTAAAACAGGTAAAACTTAACAATTAGGTAAGTATTCTTTATAGGCCTAGTTATTTGTTATGAGAAACATTCCAAAACTGTAATGTCACAAGCCAAAATGTAATAAAATTACTTAATTTATCCGTAAATTGCAGTACACAAGCATAACTTGAATTGGAAATCAGTGTTATAAATAACCTCCTCACAGAGTGAAAATTATATTTTGTTGATTGTATTGTTAATGAAAAAATATACCATTATATACTCAATTAATATTTGAATAGCCTCTTCTTACCACATTACTGTAATAATTGGCTTTTTATATATTTAAACATAAAACGCCTGACGTTTAAGCCAATTTGATCAATAACCGTTTATACAGAACAATTTGAACACCTAAACGAAAATGTAATATTGGAAGTCTTTAAAGTCGACAATCTAAATAATCTACTAAAAATAACTTGTTATATAATAACATAATACTAAGCTAACCTGACGTTGTTGTACTTTATTCTTTGGTCTTTGAAGGAGATATGTTTCAAATCATAAAGCGCAGGGTGTTTTGCCACTTCTTCTAAACGAAAATGTAATATTGAAAGTCTTTAAAGTCGACAATCTAAATAATCTACTAAAAATAACTTGTTATATAATAACATAATACTAAGCTAACCTGACGTTGTTGTACTTTATTCTTTGGTCTTTGAAGGAGATATGTTTCAAATCATAAAGCGCAGGGTGTTTTGCCACTTCTTCTAATAAACGGTCGTCTTCCTCAATCCTCACCACTAAAATTTAACTTAATCCCAGACGTTGTCCGGGTAGCCAACGACGCCATAACGAAAATAAAAGGTAATCAAACTTGTCAAAATGTTGTACACTATAAAAACAATCAGAAAGATAACTGTCGCTAAGCGACTGTCGCCCCTGACTGGTCTTGGAGCAGTGCCCAGTGTAGCTCTAGCGTAGCGACAGTAGCTTCAAGCAAAACAGGACTATGCAAAACCCCTTTGATCAGTGTCCCGCGACTACCGCGCAGCGACCGTCGCACCTGTCGCTCCAGGCAAAACGTACCTTAATAGTTGTGGTTGCAGTTGCCGTGAGGAGAGGAACTACTCAACTACTTCGAGAGATAAAAGTGGAAGTAAATGAAAAACAAAAAGAAACTGAATGTACCTTCAGGGCCTTAGTACCGGCCAGAGTGATTATGATTATGGGGATTCAAGTTCAGAATTAAGTAGGTAGTAATTTTAAAATTAATTTTATAATTAAAAAGTTAATTTTCTAACTAAAAAATTATAAAATAAATTTAAAGATTTTCTTAAATCGACGTGAGAGGCTCTCCCACAATCCCCCACTTCTTCGCAGAAAAGGTTCTCATCAGTTTCATACCGTATTGTCAATGAATTGCTTTTCCGACATCCCTGCAAAGCACGTTTGTGGAGTGGTTTGTGGCTTCCGCAGGCGTACCAACCCACTATTACAATCCGAAAAAGCGCCGATGAAAAGAGCCGCTAACTTCAACTTCACAACGGTGTTCGTTGTTCGTGTTTGTGTGTTTGTGTTTGTGTGTGTCACAACACAAAGTTAGACTGGCCAGGCCTTCCGCTTTATTAGACAATGGAAAATGAAGTTAAATGTGTTGTAAAGTGGAGTGGTAAAGAATATGAAGTTGATTCATTATCTGAAAACGACACAGTCGGAACACTTAAAGATGCAATTTATAAAAGAACCGGAGTAAGGCCTGAGAGACAGAAACTGCTCAATCTAAAATTTAAAGGTTAGAACAGAGTTAGGTTTATAAAGTAGACCTAGGCCTGGAAGCTACATTAAAAACATACCGTGTTTATTAACTTAAGTTATTAATTTATAATTATATTATAACTAATAAAATCTGTTGGCTTAGCTCTTAACTTTACCATAACTTACAACTTTTTACCGGTAAAAATTTGCCGATTTAGGACTAAATAAAAATTTACATCAAATTTATAGAAATTTCAAGGAGAACCTCAATTAAACAACTAGGCCCTAAGTTTATTCTCATTTGTTTTTAAGTTACCGTACTTATTCATTAAAAAAAAGATTTATGAAGATGATTTATGGTAAGTTAAGTTAGGCTATTGGGTTCCCCACTGAGTGCGGCCAAGCGGCAATAATGAGGGTCGAGGCGCCTTGGGGGTGGACAAGGCTGCACTTTAGATTACGTCCTAAATTTACTCACATAGCCTACTGCAGTTTGGTTAAGGTTAGGTTTAGTTTAGAACAGCTTCATTTTATAATCAGCTAATGTATAGGCTACACTAGGGCCTAATGTAGGCCTAAGTTATAATAGTAAATGTAGGACGTAAACTTAAGTGCAACAATGGACAATAGACGGATTATCAGACCTAAAACTCCCCAGTGGTCCAGGGAAAGCTTGTTGTAGAGGGTAAAAACTTATACTTCCAGGTAGTACCGGTAAGTTTATGTAATTGTGACAAGCAAGAAAGCCAGTACGGCAAGCACTATGCGGTAGTTCCTATCACACAGGGAGCAGAGTCTTCCTCCAGCGTGCGTAGTAGGCTACAATATGGGAAACGAGTGCAAGGGGGGTTAGGAGAAGCGAAGGTGTTGGACTTTGTGCTAGACACCTTTTAAGTGAAGATATCAAGTTTGAGCTAGACAGTAGTGCCTACTGTGGCGCAAGAGTTTTTTGTTTTGTTGGGGGCTCAAGAAACAGACACTTACTTACGGTACCTTTGGAAAATATCTGGAATAGCTTGACAGTAGAATTCTCCTCACTTCAGTTCCCACTTATGACTCATCTCTGCCACTGTTTGCATATTAGCCTATCATTGACTACATCTTAAGTTAATCCCATTGTTTGTAGGCTATTAATGTTTTATGTCATCTTTTCATTACTCATTAATGTCGGTTGCTTTTGTAAAATCGGGCGAGAAACATATTAACTTATCAATTGGTTACCGTAGCAAAAAGATAAGTTACTGCCGTGTTTTTGCTCTGATTGATTGATTCTGTCGGGGCGGACCTTGTCCTTTACACCATCACGTGTAATGAACCATATTTTTGGTCATATTACATAATTATTTAAACAAACTGAATACAAAACTAAAATAGCCTAACGGATAGTTTTGCGCATGGTTTCTCGTCAGTGACGATGACGAACATTTTAAGTATATGGTTTAAATGGGAGTGTGACTTGTAGTTTTCTCAAAAGTTCATGGGTACTTTGGGCTTTATGGATATCCAATGTCTCTGTTCGGATGTTTGTCCTTTATGCGTTGCCTAACCATTCATCCGAACACCATGAAACTTTAGAAAGTTGCTTTACATTTGACTGGGGTTGTTTGTATAAAAAAAATTGAAAATTCCATCAGAGCTCTGCCCTAGTGGTCATTATAAAGTTACAATGTTATCTTTGTGGATAAAAGATTTGTTTACATTTGAACAGATGAATACTTTTGAATGTAGGGTACACTCTTAGCCCTAGAAGTGGCCAATGGTCCTGGCGGGACCATTTCACCGTGCACCCTTAGAATGGCCATGGTCCCGCCGGGACCATTTATGTCCAAACATTTTTTAACGCTAAAAACTAATTGATAATTATCTTTAAAGTGCATAATTCATATACCATTCGAAAGATAACATTCTAAACTTTCATTTTATTGTATAAACGAACCTTCTAGCGTCAATATGTCAACGTAATTGCAATTTAAATTTGAATGAAAATTTCCGCGCGAATCTACTTCCACTTGTAGTGTTGCGTAAGCGCTAAACACATAAAGTTAAGAAAATCATAGCGAGGTTAGTTTGTTCCCTATCTGGATGCGAGTTATACCACTAGATAGCAGTAGGGTTGCTGAATATTTTGGCATAGATTATTTTATCAATACATCGATAGCAAAGAACATATGATTTTTAGAAAACACGTAATTTTACAAAAAATAACAAATGGCCAATAGTCCCGCCAGGACCATTTCTAAAGTCGAAATATATATATAATGGAATATTTATAACTATTCAAATATAATATCCTTTTGTAGCGTAGGAAACGCAGAATAATTTAGTGTTGAGAAATGGCAGCCCTGCTCACTGTAATTTCTGTGTTCTGTCAGCAACAAAAGAAAATTGCCATCTGACCAAGTTACTCTGTTTGTTTTGTGCGGATCAGCTGACTTACGTTTTGAAAGTAAATATTGTTCGGCGAATATCTTGGGAATCATTCTAATTTCAGATTTTAGCGAATTTCCCATATAGGGAATAAGCTATTACCGTAGTACTCATGGTAAGACCTGGACGCGGGACCGATTTTTTTTTTCGTTTTGAGGTCCCTAGAGGCCAAAAACACCATCCGTTCAAATTCATATATATATATATATATTTATATATTTATATATATATATATGTGTCCGTTAGCACGATAACTCGAGCAAAAATGATCCGATTTTGATGAAATTTGGTACAAACGTGTAAACCTACGTTTATTCGAACGAGTTCGCAATCCAGCATGATCGGACCATGGGAACGGGGGTTTACGGGGGGTTTTATGGGGTAAAAATAGGTTTTTCCTATTTTTTACCCAAAAAACATAAAATTTAGCAATTTCTTTTCAAACCATTTTGTAGAGCTTAAAAAAACAAATAATTTAGTATATTGAAGCGTTATTATGCGCCTAATGGTTACGGAGAAAATTCCAAAAAATTGTAAATTTAAAATTCCAATGTTATTCTTATGGAGAATAAGTAAACTGTTGTAGTTTGCTTGTTTATGAACATATTTTGATCAAATTTGAAAAATATTTTTATTTCTTACTAACTATTAACATTTTACAAAAAAAGAACAGTTTTACCCTCCCTGATGCAGCAAACCTAAGTACTTGTTAAACTAATTCTATTTAAATAGGGAATAAATGTTATATTTTTAAGTAGACATTTCAGTGTAAATCCAATCAGTCAAATGGAAATTCGCTTAGTCTGCAGGTTTGCTGCGGCGGGGGTATTTTGTAGTTATGTAGTGTATTTTGTTAGTAATGTTTATGTGTTTTAGGCCTAACAGTAATCTTTATGCATGAATATAAACTGGAAAGTCTAATATCTGAATTTTTTTACATAAACGGTAAATTTTTAGTTTTTTTGTATCATAAACGGGTAATCAAAAATTGTTTACTGCCTACAATGTGACATATTTGTATTCCTTAGTTTATAACTTACAAGAATATGTGTAGGCTACTATATTATTATCACTAATTACCTTACATGAGTTATCTCCTAGTTACTAATTATTCGTCTCACGTGACAAACCTTGCGATTTTTCGTATTTTCTTACATAACACATGTAAATAAAAATATTTCCCCCATGTGTTATACATTTCTATAAAGAGAATTGAATGTAGGCTACTATCACATTTTTATAATATGTTTGGCCTACAAAAATCTGTAAAAAATTTTTTTACAAAAATGTCTTTGAATTTTTTTCTATGTAAACGGTAAATTTTTGGATTTTTGTATTATAAACGGGTAATCAAAAATTTTTTACTGCCTACAATGTGACATATTTGTGTTTCTTAGTTTATAACCTACAAGAATATGTGTACCTACTATATTATTATCACTAATTACCTTACATAAGTTATCTCCGAGTTACTACTACTCGTCTTATGTGACAAAATTTGAATTTTCTTCATTTTCTTACATAACATTTGTAAAAAAAATATTTTCCCCATGTGTTATACATTTCTATGTAGGGAATTGAATTTACTACAAAATGTATATAATGGTTTTGGTCTAAAAATTATACTGTAATAATAACAAGACTTTACTTTTGAAATTTCAATCAGAATTTTTTATGATTTTTTTATTTCGCAAAAAAGTTACTAACTCAGATTCAATTTTTATTTATATATTCAGATTCTCCTGCTTTTTTTGAATAAAATGAATACAAACATTGATAGGTTGAGTCCATATTTGTAATTTTGACAGATTTTTAAAAAAAGGTCTGCAAAATCACCAAAATGGGTTGGCCATTCCCCACTTCTAACATTGGCCACTGCTAGGGTTAAGGAAACAGCTTGTATTTAATAAGAATCAAAGAAAATTGACAATATTTCAACCGAATTTATAAGTTGGGTTCTCTGATATTCAACAATTTTAAAAAGTGAAGGTTCATCAATAGAGAGTCAGCACTACTTTTTCTTCTCCCCATGGTGAAGCACGGGTAAAGCAGCTAGTGTTATTTAAATTGATTTAGGTAAAAATCCTATAAGGCAATTGGAAATTTGCTTAGTCTGCACGTTTGCTGCGAGGGTTAGGAATAACATTGCCTAATTATTTTACTCATAGACCTATGAATCCTATGATGCTGTAATTTTAATCTCTGCAGTGAAAGAAATGTGCGTGGTGTGAGGCTTACTCTGGCTCCTGATCCAGAGGGATAAAAACATTGTACAATATAAGTTTAGGCCTACGGTACATCTAAAAGAGTTGTGCTTTTATTTCAAAATAGATTACCTTTTCATAAAATTGTAGGGTTGATCTATTATGTTTAGCTTAATGCTTGGATGTACATTTAATTTTAATTTTGATGCAGGAAAAATGCCAGAAAATGAGTGTCAACTCTCACTTATCAAAATCAAACCGGGATTCAAGATCATGATGATGGGATCTTTAGAAGAGGACATTGCTGACGCCAGCACTCCACCTGAGGACTTGCCAGAGGTTTTTGATGACTTTGATATTGAAGATGAAGAGGAAGTCGCAATTGAAAACAAAGAAGTGTATCTTGCCAAAATTGAGAAGCGAATTCGAGAGTATGAGGTAATTTAAGTGGGTTTTAGATAATTTAATGATTTTTTTATACAGCCTATGCCTAATCATGGTATGCCAAGAAGTCAAAAGTTAACTAAAAGAAAGAAATTTATGTTTGGGGATAACCTTTAAAAAATTCCTAATCACAATTTCGGGTTTTCCCAATTTTTCACTCACATAAGCCTATAACAAAGTATATCAAACAAATCAAATAGAATCGCCTTTATTTGTCTTATTATGTCAGTGATGTAGATATAAAAGTAACCTAATTTTGCTTTAGAATTGGAGCAAATCTGTATTGTAATTTAAGAATTTGTATTTAAAAAACTTCCCTGAAAATGTTCAATAAATCCTCCCTAAGGGCACAAACCTCAATTAAAGGCTTGTTTTCAATCACATTTAGCTAGAGATGGGTGTTATAATCTATTTATTTAATACGCGAGCAGGTTTTTTCTGACAATTACTCCTCTGAAACTACTGAACCGATTGACATGTTTTTGGTGTCATTGGAAAGAGTGTAACTTGAAGTTGTGCAGGAAACTTTTTTTAGGAAATAATTAGAGAGTGAGGCCCTGGGGCCCTTTTAAAGTTTTGTATTTCCCCATAAGATTAACTTGGGAAACAAAAATTGTTATGAAACTCCAGCTGCTGTAGGAAATTAAAAGTGAGAAGAAGAACGTATGTTAATTGTAAACAGTCAATAAGTTTGCTTATTAAATGGTTTGCTACAGACATTTACTGACTCGGTTGAAATGAAATATTTAGGCCTACTATTTGAATTTGGGTTGGCGTAAATATTACAGTGGAAAAAAGCGAGAGAGCCTGGATAATTTTATATACTAAAAAGAAAACTGAATTAACACTGTGCTGCATTTCTTGGTAATCATTGAAAGAGCCGATTTGCAAACTATGGAAACATAGGAAAGTCATAGAACACCACCAAGGAGAAGAAATAGAAATAATGTTTTTTTTTAGAATTTATAATCGTTAAAAAACATGATCAGCTTTTGAAAAATAATATTTACAAGAAATGTTGATTATATCGATCTGTTATGTAGGCTACATGTTGAGAATTTCAATAATCTTTGAGTCAAATCTTTTAAAGCCATGAGAAATTATGACTGTTATTCGTTTTAAAATAACACCTGTAATACTTAGCAATTGCTTGAATTCGAGCAACAGGTACACTAGTAGATTATAATAGATAAATTTTATTAGACAAGCTACATAGAATAGGTATAAAAGATAGAGCTTTTGATTGGATGAAATCATATTTCACCAAATAGGAAACAGTTTGTCCAAATCGTAAACCTTTCTAACAACTTCAAACATTATTACAACTCTCAACTTAGAAATTAAAAATGGCATAACACAGGGATCAATACTCTCAACTTTATTTTTCAACTGTTATTTGGCAGACATACCAACACCGACTGGCACAAGTAAATTAGTTCTATATGCTGATGATGCCACTTAAACAATATCAGATAAAACTCAGATAAATATCAGTTAAGAATAATATGACCACTTTGACTAGTTACTTCACTCAGAATAATTTAGCAATAAATAAAGAAAAAACAATTTTCATGAACTTTAAAACCCCACGGTCTGCAAAATATCCATTTGAAAGTCTATATATCGGAACAAATCAAGTACCTAATTAGTAAAACAAATAAAACTAAATTTGTAGGTCTAATAATAGATTAAAATCTAAACTGGAACTCCCATGTACAAGAATTAATTGCTAAAATATCTTCAGGTGTTTTTGCCATTAGCAGATTGCAGTATTTCTGTGAAACTGAAACCTCAAAACTAGTTTATTTTTCATATATACATTCAATAATATCTTATGGCATCTCCTTATACGGTTGTACAAGCTTAAATAATATGTATACAATTCTTAAATATAAAAAAAGCGGTGAGGCGTATATTGAAACCTCAACGAAAAACACATGTAAAAGAATATTTTATTTCACTTAAAATAATGACAGTTTATGGGATGTATATATATGAAACTATCATCCACTTCAAAATGGGAACATACTCTAAAACCATTAGGAAGTACTCGTGAGTATAATACTAGAAATAGAACCATTTCACCGATCTCACTCAGCATTATCGCCCCAAACAGGAAACGAGTAGACGGTCAGACACTAGGTTGGATATCCCAAGGATTTGGTTATTCCAAGGTCGGATATGAGGGGTTCTACTGTATTAGCGAATTTCCCAATAGTAAAGTAGCTATTATGGTAGGTGGCACGGTAAGACCCTAGACCCTGGACCGATATGCTTTCTCATTTTGATGTCCCTAGAGGCCAAAAACACTATCTTTCAAATTGTTATATCTTATCTTACTAATATTATAAATCTGAAAGTTTGTGAGTTTGTGTGTGTGTTGCTCAATTACGCATAAACTACTGGACGGATTGGGCTGAAATTTGGCATGATGATAGCTCACATTCCCGATTAACATTAAGGCATATTTTTATCTCAAAAATCCTTTTGGGCTCCGCCCCAGTGGCTATGTAGTTCCCCATGTTAACCTTATGAGTATTCATATTTAAAGGGAACTAGGGGCTTGTAGGGGCAAAAGCCCCTAAAAAAACAAAATACATAAATTTTTTATCAACTTTCATTGGTCATTTATAAATAAGCACTGATTTTCTAGCATTATAATATAGTTTACAACACAAAATGTATACAATCTTACTAATATTATAAATCTGAAAGTTTGTGAGTTTGTGTGTATGTTTGTGTGTGTGTTTGTGTGTGTGTTTGTGTGTGTGTTGCTCAATCACGCATAAACTACTGGACGGATTGGGCTGAAATTTGGCATGACGATAGCTCACATTCCCGATTAACATTAAAGCATATTCTTATCTCAAAACCCCTTTCGGGCTCCGCCCCAGTGGCTCTGTAGTTCCCCATGTTAATCTTATGATTTTTCATATTTAAAAGGAATTAATGAATCTTAACAGCTGTTTCAATTAAACAAGTTGGTTCTGTTCTATGATATTCAATAGCATAAAAGTTAAAAGGATTACCAACAGGGTGCAGCACTATTAATTTTTTTTTAAATATATGACAACAGCTAATTTCCAACCAAAAGGTGAGTGAGCGTAGCGAACGAACTTCAACCTGGAGGCGAGTTAGCGTAGCGAACGAGCTAACCTGAAGGCAAGTGAGCGCAGCGAACGAGCTCCAACCTAAAGGTGAGTGAGCGTAGCGAACGAACTTCAACCAGGACGTGAATGAGCCATGCGAATACTTATGAAGTTAAACGGGGCGAAGCCCGCGGGTACAGCTAGTATATTATATACAGTAGATACATTTACATTTAAATGGTGGTTTGTAGGGACAATAGCCTCTAAAACAGTAAACTTTTTTATTTTGAAAATAATAAGCATAAAAAACAATTAAAATTTGGTTTAATTCAAGTTTTATTTACATGAATTGAAATCACTACTTACTTACCGTATTGCATTTGATAATTAGTCAGAACCTCTGGATAAACTATGTTTTTTGTATATGAATTGTTTTCTGTATTGTTCTGTTCTCTTGTATTTGCCATATATACTCTGATTCCATCTGATGACTTGACTCTGCTAAATGCAACATATAACTGTCCGTGTGTTAAAACTGGTTTATCTAAGTAAACTCCAGCTTTCTGGAAGGTTTAGCCTTGTGCCTTATTGATAGTTATAGCAAAGGCAAGTCGTAAGGGAAATTGCAGTCTTTACATGTGGAAAGGCATGTTAGGATCTGTTGAAATAAGCTTTATTCTAGGCAAAAATATTATATTTCCCTTTCCAGATCCCGTAATAATTTCTAATTTTATGCATTTGAAAGCCAACACCTCGGCGACGCGGCCTTCCTCCGTTGTTCATTACTATATTTAGGTAGAAAAGAAGAAATACGATAAGATAACTATAGATCACCATAACTAAAAATTATACATTGCTGTAGTAAACAAACTGAAAATCATAAAAAGTACAGCTGGTATCTATATCAAAGGCTATGAGTACACAGATTTTCAGAAATACAACTAATACAAATCTGTGGCACAGCTGTTTTAATTTCAAAAGGATGTAAACAAATTAAACCCCATGTTGTTTTAATGGGAAAAGTTTTATTCTGTTGCGAATTTATGGTAAAAAAATAAGAAAAATGAATAGTTTTCCCTCAAAATTCACGTCAAGACCTTTAAAATAAGACCCCTCCGATCCTTCTACGGTCATCCAGTCACTCACAATTTCTTTACAAAAATTTGACTTACAGAATTATATATATAGATTAAAGAATTTAGTCAGCTGTTTCAACTTTACAAGTTGGTTCTATAATGTGCAATAGCATTAAAATTTATAAGGTTTCCCAACAGGGTGCAGCACCATTAATATTTTGTTTTTGCATATATGACAACAGCTAATTTGAGCTAAGCAGCAACAAAAAGCTGTGATACACAATGAGAACTGTCAAAGTAAGATTGTTTACAGTTAGGTTTGAGTTTTTAATTTAATGAATAATTTATGATATTGTGCGAGTGTTTGATAATTTATTTATTTTTTCTAATGTTTAGGTACAGTGGTATAACATTATGGCAATGGTAGATGTGTTATACTATATCAAACCGTAAATTTATGAACCAAATTTTATCAAACTGTGTCCTCCCCCCATTGCAAACGCAAAGCTTGAGTATAACTGCAATAAGCATTTTATACTTATATGCCAACCCCGTACGAAGGGCGGGTGCTCTGCTAGTCTATTATATACCTTACTTTACCTCCTTGGCCATTCAAACCTAAGCTGGTTTTTGGCCTCGCCAACAAGTTGCCTCCACTGTTTTCTCTCTGCTGCTTGGTCAATTTTTGTCCCCATCCGCTACCCCACCATAGTTTGGATCTTCTTAGCGGTCTGGCAAACTTCAGGAGACTGTTTTCTTCTCTTCTCGCTATGTGTCCTGCCCACCTCAATCTTCGGCTCTTAACAATAGTTACTATATCTGGGTCTTC